CGTTTGTTGTAATCTGTGTAATTTGGCACTTGTCAAATGCTGATTCGATAATGTCGAATAAACTGATCAATGTGGTGTGTGTAGTGTGTAGTGTGTAGTGTGTAGTGTGTGTATATATTCTTGATAATTTTGGCTATATGGGTCCCGTCTATCGATCGATACATGTGCATTGTCCATACGGACGTTCATGTTGCAATGTTTCAACTGCTGTCCTGATGATATCCTGTCGTTCACCTTTCAAAGTTTGTTTGTGCACTTTTGTTATTAGGATACATTGTCTACTCCGCTTTTTTGTTTTTTGTTTATCTCAAATAAAAGCCACATCATTGTTGGGCGATGGGGGTGTGTGCATTGATTAGTTAGCAGCAATGACAGAAATAGTGTAATTATGTGTGATATACACTCATTTGCATGTTATCACATCTCTTGATATGTCCCCTTATCTTTCTGTTACTTGATTGGATAATGCCAATTTCGACGCACAATATGCCGAATTTATTTCCATGCGTCTAGAATAGAATGATCTTGAAGAATATGGCGCTCATAATAGTTTAGTCCTGCATTCTTTGTTGCGGCAGTAGGCTTATATGCCTCATGCAATTATCACATTTCATTCCGTATTAAATGATTCGCAACCGCAACCGCAACTGCAACTGCAAACGCAACTGCAACCGCAAACACAACCGCAATCACAATCGCAATCACAACAGTCGCAACCGCAACTCAACCGCAACTCAACCGCAACTGCAACTGCAACCGCCGCAACCGCAACCCCACTATTTTTCAACAACTTTATCTTTCCCCGATTTGATTGCGCCCAAACAGCATCTGGAATATAGATTCGATGTTGTACCTGCGTTACATATGCTCGCGTGAGGGTCACACAAGGCTTTCAATAGAAAGAAAAGTAGTGGGAAATTTGCGTAAAAGTCGGAATGCGGATGCACGGAATAATTAAGAGCTATCTCCTCTGACTCTAAAGATTGGTGTTTGTTCATCTATTGTTGATCATACTACTGCCTCACATTGAAATATATTATTCATAGAGGGCTGACGACAATCCCTGTCAAGCACGTTGATCTTTGCCTCTTTCGCATGTTTGCAACTTTTGGGGAATTATTATTCCCATACATTAATCGAATAAGACGCATACATAAACTGTGGTGTAAAGAAGAAAGAACATTCTTCCAAGACCATCGGTGATAATTGGATTGTTTTTGTATTTGTGATTTGATACCCGTATTAGTATGTCCACCACCTATATATCATACAAAGACAACAGCCGCCAAGAAAACAAGACATATATTATTAATAGTAATAGTAATAATAGAATAGAATAGAATAACAACACATACCAAAGTGCCCCGTGCTTCATATTTATTACTGTCCTCCCTCCAATCGCCTGTGCAACTTTCCTTTACTTAGTAATTATACGGTTGGGGTGTGGAGAAGGGGTAACCTGTCGGACTATGAGTTGCCTTTGGCATAGAATATATTACTGTACTTGATGTTATAGAAACTTTGAGTGGTACTTGCTATCACCGTATCACAAATTAAATTGACTTCTGCTATATAAAAAATATTAAGAAACCTACTGTATACATGCGCAGTATATCAAGTATTGCATATAAAAAGAATACCCCCATCTCATCACAGGTGATATTAGGAAATTATTCAGTGACAATAGGAAATTTATTTAACAGGAAAACTCCGATCACTCGAGCAAAATAGCAATAAAGGAAAAAGTACAAATACAATATATACATAGCATTTGACAGCAATAAAACGCCTTCTCAACGACAACCTTTTTATAACCGTCATAAAAAATACAGCCGTTTATACAAGCGTTGTGAACCTTTAGTAACCACTTTACAATACCCACTCCACTTGACAACGCTACTCACCACATTGCTCACCAATTGCTCTCCATATTATACCAGCATTACTAACAATACCACCAATACCGACAGCAATACCAAATAGCAATGCCTACAGTTCTTATTCCTAAACCACTACCCCACTCTTACCCGCTACATCTCTCTTACTCACTCTCACATTCTCGCCACATACACCAGCCCATAACCTTTCCTCTCGCCTCTCTCCCCTTTGACGTCCTAACCCACATCCTTTCGTTTGCCGTAAACCCTTCTTCTTCTTCACCAGCCGTATCTTCCTCGCTTGCATTGGTTTCTCGAACATTTTTCTATGCATCGATTCCTCACATCTGGAATCATATTTATATTCAAGAACCAACCTACAAAATACTGTTCTCGATATTACATACACCAGTAGAAAAGTTAATGTACGATTACAGAAAGTTGGTGAAAAGCGTAACTGTGTGTCCGGTATCAATATCACGAATGAAGCCGGGCGGATTGATAGGTGTATTGGAAATGGTCAACGAAGTATTGACTGAGGTTAGAGAAATAAATGTAGAGGACAAATTGAGCTTCTGTCATGTGTGCCATGTCGGTGGCGAAGCTACTGCGCAGGAAGTAGGCTCTTGTTTAATACCAGCGAAACCTCTCTTATCATTGAGGCTTGATTCCGATCATACTTCTTTCAGCGACGATTTATTATGCATGATATCGTCTTCATTAACCTCATTGAAGAAACTGTCTTTGAATGGTATAAACTTTACGGACGAAGGAATAATAGAATACGCCATTCCAGCTGTGAGTAGGACGTTGGAAGAAATTAACATTGGAGTCGGAATAAGTGGTAAAGCTATAATCACCGGAAGAAGCGTAGTGGAATTATTGTCGAGTTGCTATAAATTAAGGAGCATGACGCTCGAGGGATGTGATTTGACAGATCAAGACTTTTTTATCGATGCTCTTCCGCAATGTAACTTGACATATCTCTACATTGGGAAAACCAAAACTCCCTTCTCGTCATTCTCGCTCCAGTCTCTACTTTCCACATGCTACTCTTCCCTGCAGACTCTCATACTCGACATTGACCATATTTCTCCAATTGTCCTGCTCGACATTATCATTCCTCTTTACCGCAAGTCGAATTTACACTCTCTGCATCTCATCTCGGAATCATGGACACATTGGATTGCACACTACCCTAACCCAAAGAACGAACACGAAAGGAGAGCAAAGGAAGCCATGTGGAGATGGAAATTGAAGGCGTATTGGGGTTTATCGTATGAAATGATTAGAATGGTAGCTGAAGAGGTTAGAACTTTGCGCGTATTTAGTATATTGGGCGAAAACCAATTGAAAAGGAACGAGGCAGAAGCAATAGGAGGACGGGCAATCAAGGGAAGCTGGTAAATGATATTGGGAAAATAAATGGAATTGCTTTGGTTGGGGGGAAGGGAAGGGAAGAGGGAAGGGAATGGAAGAGAGGTTGGGGGAGGGGGACATGGGTGGATCGATTGATAATTGAGATATTTTTATAGTGATTTTTTCTTTTATAATTTTGATTGGCTATTGGAATGATGGATTATACGGTTTTGGTTGTCTTCTTCTTATTATTAGTATTATTATTATATTTTTTTTACAAATCCACAACTCGTGGGTTTACACTGAACATTTTGGCAGTCAACTTCTGTCACAAAAGTATATTCATTTTCTTTTTTTAATTATTGTATTATAAATATTTTATCCATTAGATCTGTAGAAATATCACAAATAAAGCATATCGATCGCACGTGATTATATTGAATGAATATGTGTCATCGACAATTTGAAAGCGCAAACTTTCAGCTTGGGGTGTTTGCTTTTCCTGATCGTAACTTTTTGCGAATTCCCAGAGTTGAAGATATTGGCTTACTTGAAATGTTACTATTACCTGATATTAACTTGTCAACGATCACAAACAACAAAGAACGTCATTCCGATAGCATAAGCAATTCATTCAATTGCTCACAAGGATTGCGTTTTCTCTGTTTGATATGTGGGATCCGTCTTGGCATTGGAATTTTCGGATATGAATTAGGTATTGGTTTATGTAGGCCTGAGTTTAATTTTTTATTACCGTGTTATTTGATCGGCCAGTTAAACCTGTTCTGGTAAGCCTGCTTTTCGCTTTTCTTGTGGATTAAAATTTTCATACTAAACAAATACCTGGCCCAATACAGCTATTATCTCTTATCATACATATATAGCAAGACCACGTAAATGCATACTCCACGCGGGGAAACGTTTTTAGTCTATCCTTTTATGGTTCTTTGAATGGAATCAAAGAGGTTGGGATGCTCCTATGGTTATCACCGAGTCTATGGAAGACACCATAGCATGCACTCAGTTACGATGTGTTACAAAAAAACCGTTCATGTCTGGAAAAATTCAACTTATTTTGAGACAATTCAAAGTATCCTAGTCAATTTATTACACGACTTGAGCCTAGTTAGAATTTTATGAACGAACTTTAAAACGCTAAAAATTTGGCTCAACAAAACCAGTGATGGTTGAGGAGCGAGAAATTGACCAGAACAGACAATAATTCGATAATGTACGTAGAGAGGGTTCCCCGCCGCGGAGCGGACCTGTTTACAAAATAAATAAAAGCGTATTTTAAATCGACCTTTATAATAGAATTTACATCTTTTTAGTTTTTAAATGAGTTATCATTTGTGCTATTTGTAATAGAGGGTAATATATAACGGACATTCTTGTAACTACGGTTTTCGTAATTGTCTGATAATATCAAAAGGCTAATCTAAACGTGAATGACATGCATAGCTTCTTCACATTTGTTAAGAACCTTATTTGTTTATATGTCTGCATGTAGTACGCAAAGATAATGGGTGTTAATGCTAGTTATCTGCTATCAACGATTTCATTGATTTGATTTAGAACCAGAGAATGAAATACTAATATACTATGAAATACGCGCTGGCGTAACAATATTCTACTCACGTGATTTAATGGTTTCCAAAATTTTAGGCGCTTATTTTTGTGAGACAATAATAGTTTGCATTGCGTCTGCCGGAGTTTGTTTGCTTACAGCGCAGAATACTCTACTGATCTTGTCGACTCGTAAAAATGCCAAAGATTAGACACGCTCGTTCGAGAAGGCCACCTGAAGGGTTTGACGAGATCGAGCCAACTCTTCAAGAGTTTGCTCAAAAGATGAAAGATGGTAAAACTTTATATAGAGTCAGTTTCTTTACTACCAAAATGATTTCTCAAAATTATACGCAGCATACTGATCAGCCATGTAAATTTAGCCGAAAATGAGCCGCACGAAGGGAAGCGTCGTGTAGAATCCCTATGGCCCATATTTCGTCTTCACCACCAGCGATCTCGTTATGTTTACGATCTTTACTATAAACGTCAAGCTATATCAAAAGATCTGTATGATTACCTTCTGAGACACGGATATGCTGACGCCAATTTGATTGCAAAGTGGAAGAAGGTATGGAACATGCTTTTTTGTATGGTGTTTTTTTTTTTTTTTTTTTTTTTTTTGGCTACAAACTTGCCTGTTCTAATACGTTGATATTCGATAAATAGCCTGGATTCGAAAGACTTTGCTGTCTGCGATGTATCCAACCCAGAGACACAAACTTCGGCACAACTTGTATTTGTCGTGTTCCAAAATCAAAACTGGAAGAGGGACGCATAGTAGAGTGTGTCTTGTGTGGTTGCAGGCAAGCAGTTAATTTATGTTGCAGTCTCTTTTGTTTCGGAGAATTTCGTAACGTAACAACTTTTTTCCTTGTAGAGGATGTTCGAGCACAGATTTCGTATCGTCAAAGAAGGAGGCAAAAGTGAAAGACAATATACCTAGTCAATCTTGAAGATTGAAGGATTGTTGTAAATGAACAAGCGATGAAACCGAACTTTAACGAGTGTGTACAATAAATTAAAAATGACCATACGGCGCGATGTCGACAAGTTAGACTTTCAAAATATTGATATAGCTAATCATTAATGATTTAAGTTGTATATGGGGCATACCAATATAACAATAAATGGAATACGAAACCGCAAAGAAATGAGTTCTATCTTATGAGCAATATTAACTCTGAGAACTACTCAGGTTATTGGCATAATTAGGTAAGGTTAACAGGAATATTGATATTCGGGTTATTTTTGATGGATGAGAATTTTTCGTAACTGTGTATCATATTATGTGCGTCAAGACGTAATTGTCTAATATCAATCTGCTCCACTTGACGCGTCTCCAGAAGCTTGAATGCTGTTTGTGGTAAAGGAATCTTTGATGCCGAGAGCGTGAAAATAGTTGCTTGTCCAAATTCGAAACATCTGTCAAAGAAAACAAAAAAACAACACATGTCTTTCCCGTAAAGAGGCCATCTGATAATACAATCCGTCACTACATTGAAAGTCTAACCGTACAGTTTTATTGTTATCCATGTTATGTATGTATTCAGAACCGAGACAGACGACTTATAATGCCAGACTTAATGTATACCTTTTAAAACCAAAGCATGAGACTTTCAATTGGGTCGTAAAGTGCAAATTGAGAAAGTCTTTATTATTTCTGCGGCACAATTAAATCCACGTACGTAAATCGCAATAGCTAAAATTATGACATATAGTTTTTTTAAAATAAAATTTACCCTTCTCATTCCTGACATTGACTTCCAAACATAATATAGTGGTTATGCTCGAAAATACGTCTCGAGAAAAAATCAAAATAGAATATCAGATCTTAAATCTGTGTTTTAAAAAATGAAATGGTTGCAAAAATACCAGCGTTTTCTATTTGAAGCATCTCGGCCTGCTCAGAATGATTGCTAATGGTGCTTTGAAGCTAGAAATACTAAAGAATGGGAAGGTCACGGGACTGACAATTTATACATTACTGAAAACATGATGCATTGAAATACCCAAAGACAAGCAACTGATTTTCGGGTACCTGTTGATCAGAATGTGGAACGTGAACATTTTGCGTTTCATGAAAGTTCTCTTATTAGTACGCGTTTTCTTTTTAAGACGTCGGCTTGTTATTCGCCCACCATTGCGAGTAACATATCTTCAAGAAACGTATTGCTTTTTCATATTCGTAATTGTATAGGCTTAACTCTCATGAAAAGAAATGCAACAACTAGAGCCAATTTGCAGTTTGTTGGTTCCACGGATTGTAATTTAAGACTTTTTGGTACCATAATAATAACACAAATGTACTGTGCAAGTTTATTATTTACACTTATGGCAAAACTATACTATTTATTCATATTCCTTCTGCAATAACAATAATTTAATGAAAACGCCTATGTAATAGGAATTAGGACACGTCAACCTGAATCACCACCTAAAAGTGTCAAGATGGCAATAAAAAGATTTACTATATCCAAATACAAGTCAATTGTACCCAAGATGTATTCTAATCAATTATAACAGTGGTTAATCAGTTTTAATAATGATTGTACTTGTTACTTTCATAAACAAATAACTCTTATACTGACCTTCTGGACTCAGTCTGTTGAATATCTCATACGTGTCATAAATTATATAGCCACAAAATAGCAGGGCTGAGAATCCGGCAATGGCAATATCAAATCCTCTATTAAATGGAAATAACCAGCCAACAATGCCAGCGAGTATTACCACCCAAAGGCCGGCATACAAATATGGGCCCCATGAAGAAAAGTCGATCTTTGACTGAAGCGTGAATAACACAAGAGCAGCAAAGACACCGAGTGTGATTAAGAATGCTTGCAACACAACTTTTCCACTGTACACGGACACTGTATAATATTAAAAAAAAAAAAAATAAGAAAGTCGCATCCTGGGTGGGATATAAAGATATGTACTACTCACCTATTGTTCCTACTCCATACGATAGTGCTAGCGTGAATAGAGCCAACAAAATGATATTCAATGGGAAGCTCTTTCTCTTCCAAATCAAAAATAGGAGCACGATCAAAGAAAGTGCCCAAGATACATAGAATATCCATAAACTATTAATTTTTGGAGTAAAATTTTCATAGGTTACAAACGACCAAATCAATGTTATCATGTTATCCCATTTTGATACTCAACTGGGTTTTCACAAAATTATGGACTACTGTGTGATTCATAAACCATAGAGATATTCCAACTGTCACAGCCAATTGTGCAGCAAGGAGAAAGTATACCTTTCGTACAAAAGCTGACAAAGCAATCATATTCAGTACGAACGTAAGTACAAACCAATAACTATAACAAAATTCTCGGGGTAATATCCAGGTCAAAATGTTCGTGCCAATTTCCGGGTAATATCTGTTGTTCTTCCCAAAATACTTTCATAAACTCACCCATACGGATCTGGCTGTCCGTCTGCAAACTATGAAGTCCCCTGTAAACGATCCCCTCATCTCCAATGTCAATAACAGTGTCATCTGGCGGATCACTTGGTCTGACTTTTGTCGTGCTTCCAACAATTGCAGGCTTTCTTACGGTCTCTGTTCCACTGCCGCTTCCACTTCCACTTTCTATGCCACCGTACACTGGAGGCGGTGGCCATTTTTCATACTGCAAATCTGTTACAGAATTTCCGATTCCAGAGCTTTGCGTATCAGCTCGAAATGTGTCCATGTGGTAAGCAGAATTGGGTTGCTCGTGTGAAGATGGCGGATAAGGTTGTGGGAATGATGGGTTGGCATCGTCAGTTTCGGCATTTTCCCGATCTACGTTACTATGTCTCCAAGACGACGCCAGTTGTCTATTGACAGGCTCGGCATTCACAAAAGGATATGTTATAAAGGCCGACGACCATCGTTCATTGTTATTATCGTTGTCTCCTTTATTCTCATGGTCAGAATTGTGCACTGTTGACCCTTCAGAATCGTTATGTGTTGAACTTTGGCTCATTTATAAAGATACTCGTAAGAGCAATTTTCCCAGCATAACGCTGCTGTTTGGAACTTTTCAGACTTGTCTTCGGGCCGTTATTACGAGGTAATGTTACACACAATGAACTCCTTCGGGGCGCACTCGTTGTATATAATCTGCGTCACCATATAATTCCCGGAATTATATATATAATCGACGGCACGCAGATTATAATCTGAAATCACCCAAAACGTGAATTATATATAATTTGCGGCAAGACGATTTACCCAGAATTGCATTAGACAAACGCTTTATTATCCAAACTGACTAGTTACATATCTCTCAATCATACTAACACACATTATCGTTTATATGCTTAAGAATTTCGACATTTCTGTTGAGCTTCGTCGACTATCAACGCACGCACCACCTGATCTGTCCACCGGACGATGCTTTGTGTTCTTGCAGCCTCCCTTAATGGTACTTCCTTGCGTTGTTTCAATAATTTTGCAAGGACGGTCCACAAATGTCAGTCAATACGTGGAATTGAGAGGACCACAGATCCAACTTCAAAGTATTTATCGCTCGATTTACTCTTGAGGAGCCGGTCTCGAATTTTCTTTCGCATTTTTTCGGTGTTTCGTATTGCTATTTGTCTTAACTCCCTGTGCCGAGTTGGTAAGCTTGCCTCATCTGCTACTTCAGTGTCCTCATCGAAGAGATCATCCACATTCATAACTATCAGATGTACAAAAATTGGTAGTGTGTTATTCGAATTATTCTATCACTTATGCATACTAACAAAAAAGTAGCAAATAAAACTTTTAGGGTTCGGAAGCCAATGTTGGTTTGTGCTTTGAATAATTTAAGTCCATCGTTATTAATATTAATAGGGTTAAAATAATTAAGCATAATAATAATTTATTATAAAAGTGTCGTTGCATGATTATACCGGATTCTTTCCTTCCATGAGTTTATAAAACGCATGCATTGTCTTAACGCGTTTCTAACTTCTAATATTAACGCCCTGAGGAAATCCTTCTTGTGGTCCGAAATAGGCTCCTTAATTCATTCCATGGAACTACGTACGTGCTGCGAGTGAAAAATTCCGCTTCTGAAAGTTTGCCTTTGAATTTACAAGCTGGCCCGGGTTTCAGCTGATGTCCAGATTTTTGCTGATTCTAATGGACTATTCTCAAAAAGACGTATTTCGATTAATGCATCAAGAATATACTTTCTTGGTACATCTGGCGGTTCTATCTGTTCTCTGAAGATATTATTCATGAGTTGTTGAAATTCAGTCCACGTATATCTATTGTATATATAATCTGCATCACTATATAATTCCCGGAATTATATGGGTGTATACAACAAATACAAAGCCATTTTATACATTGGCCTTTACAATCACCTAACGAAAGTCTTTCTCGCCCAATCATATGATTATCCAATCAGATTAAAGGTTCTCTATGCTTGCATTAGTACAAAAAGGAACAATTTAGCAGCGGAAGGTTTCGATCCTTCGACCTCGGGGTTATGAGCCCCGCGCGCTTCCCCTGCGCTACGCTGCTTCAACCTTAGACTTTGATTCCAAAAAAAAGTAGAACTATTTACAATTGCTGATTTGGCATGAGAATTTAATAATTAACAAGAGGCAAAAGAAAACAAGCACAAGACATCTCCGAACAAGGCACGTCAATAAACGAAAACATCAGACTTTGCCTCAACAAAACTTAACATAAAACCGTTTATCCCATAGAAATCTACACACAT